CCCAGAAGTACAAGCTGGATTTTGAAGGGCAGAGGAACTAGAGACCAAATTGCTAACATGTGCTGGATTATGGAGAAAGCCAGAGAGTTCCAGAAAAACATCTACTTCTGCTTCATTGACTATGCAAAAGCCTTTGACTGTGTGGACCACAGCAAACTATGGCAAGTCCTTAAAGAAATGGGAGCGCCTGACCACCTTATCTATCTCCTGAGAAATCTATATGTGGGACAGGAAGCAGCAGTTAGAACGCAATATGGAACAACTGATCGGTTCAAAATTGGGAAAAGAGTATGACAAGGCTGTATATTGTCCCCTGGTTTATTTAACTTATATGCAGAGTACATCATGCGAAAGGCTGGACTGGAGGAATCCCAAGTCGGAATTAAGATGGCCAGAAGAAATAGTAATAACCTCAGATATGCAGATGATACCACTCTGATGGCAGAAAGTGAGGAGGAATTAAGGAAACTTGTAATGAGAGTGAAAGAGGAGAGTGCAAAAAACGGTCTGAAGCTCAACATCAAAAAACTAAGATCATGGCCACTGGTCCCATCACCTCCTGGCAAATAGAAGGGGAAGATATGGAGGCAGTGACAAATTTTACTTTCTTATGCTCCATGATCACTGCAGATAGTGACAGCAGCCACGAAACTTAAAGACGCCTGCTTCTTGAGAGGAAAGCGATGACAAACCTAGACAGCATCTTAAAAAGCAGAGACCTCACCTTACCGACAAAGGTCCACATAGTTAAAGCTATGGTTTTTCCAGTAGCGATGTATGGAAGTGAGAGCTGGACCATAAAGAAGGCTGGCCACTGAAGATTTGATGCTTTTGAATTGTGGTGCTGGAGAAGGCTCTTGAGAGTCCCCTGGACTGCAAGGAAATCAACCCTGAGTGCTCACTGGAAGGACCGATCCTGAAGCTGAGGCTCCAATACTTTGGCCATCTCATGAGAAGAGAAGACTCCCTGGAAAAGACCTTGATGTTGGGAAGGTGTGAGGGAAAGAGGCAAAGGGGATGACAGAGGATGAGATGGTTGGACAGTGTCATGAAAGCTACCAACCTGAATTTGACCAAACTCCAGGAGGCAGTGGAAGACAGGAGGGCCCGGCATGCTCTGTTCCAAGGGTTCAAGAGGAATCGGACATGACTTAACGACTAAACAACAACAACAAATTATATACATACTTTATAACTATTCTGACACTCAGAGGAGGCTGATTTCCTATGAAGACTTCAAAACCAGCTTCTATTTGCTAGATCTTTTTATTAGTTTTATTATTAGCGCTCATTCCTATGCGTGTGGTTGCTATCCATGTAGCAGAGGTGGAAGATATGCCGCCTGCACAATCCTAGGTCTTCCATCTGAATATTACCATCCTGGGATGCAGACACCAGAAGATGCCACCCCATTGTAGGTGCTGATATGAGATTCAATGGCAGCCCAGAAATCTTTAGTGTTTGAGGGAGCACCATCTTGTCATTACTTTTAGGTAGAACATAGCTCAACTCAGCTTTGCTATTCTTGTGAATCCAGTAAGCTTGTGGATAGGATGTTGAAGGACAGAGCAGGTGATGCCCTGCCAACTTTGGTGGAAACACACAGGGAGTAGCCAAAGGCTGCAGAAAAAGCTTCAGAGGCAAGGGCTGGGCACCCTTGTACTACTCAAATGTAAGTACTGAGACTCCAAAATGCCCTTAATCCTTTGTAAGAAAGGCTCTGATGCTTATATTTAGTACTCACCAGCATCAAATACTGTCACCCCAAAATTTAGTAGGCTTTTGCCGAAAGCAACAATAAAGCAACAGGAAAAGAAAGATTCAAGCGACTGAGAAGAGAAAGACAGAGAAATGTTCCTTTTATTTTTGCTTACCTGTTTGAATACAGAGTTGTAAAGAATGCAAGTCACTGCTTTTCTGTGACTTGTGACTCTGCGGTTGCCCAAATCCTGCTCCATTTCCAACAATGCCAGTCGATTGTTAAATGAGATTAAAAGGTGTCCATGAGATTCATTGAAGTAAAGCACAGAATGGTAGTCCAGGCTTCTTGGGAAAGAACCCGCAACCCTTTGGATACAGAGCTGATGTTGAATGTCCCAGATCCTTAACACCTGTGAAGAGAGAAGAGGAGGAAAGGAAGAAATTAGGACCAAACAGGATTTCTTATGACAGTCAAGGGTTCTGCTTTAGCCACTCTGTCATGGTACCCCTGTCTCCTGAGCGTATGTGAGACCAGAGGCATAAACTATGGTTTTTGCAACAAAACTTGCCTGAAACCTCAGCTCCCAGCACACCAGCCCACATTTGACTTGGCTGTGTTATCCAGGAATTAGAAATCTACGAAGCTGTACACTTTGCCTCATGCAGCTCCCACCATACACATGTCAAACTCAAAATTCCCCATAGATAGGTGAGAGATCAAGGTTGCATTTAGCACCACAGATCCCAACTTAATAATCAAACTTCTACGTTTCGATATATTTTATATTTTATTTTTAAAAAGCAAAAAGGCAAAATTGTTCAAAAAGTGTCAAAAAGCAAGTTGAGACAAGTGTGAGGAAAAGCAAGAGGTCTCTCTCTCATACACACAATTTAATCTAATTTATCAAATGCTTATTTTCAGCATAGAGGACAGCATAGCCCTGAAGCATATACAGGGTGTATCCACTAGAACAGCATGGGAGGACAGCAATTGAGCATAGTATCTCCTAACCTAAAGTAAGTTCAGAACTCTTCATATACACTAAAGACCCATTTCCAGGGTCTTCTATACCAGCAAACAAGTGGACTTCCTCCTCCTTCAAAACCTGGGAATAGCTACAGCAGTTTCTCACCAATATTCAGCCAAGACTACTTCTCTAATTATTGCCATACTAGGCTAGCTTGTCAGGCTGGCCTTGAATTCTTCTGCTCATGAGAAAACATTATAGGTGTTTCCCATGTTGTTTGGCAAAATTTGTCCATTAGAGCAAACATTCACACAAACACAGACACGCACATGCACATGCATGCACGCACGCAAGAACGCACACATACACACACACACACACACACACACACACACACA